AATCCAGACGAACACTAATGACTAAATTAGATCTAATTTCTTATTTTTGGTATTATTTTTTTTTCTTATTATTTAAATTAGACACAAGTAGAAACTGGTGTGAACTCTGATATTATCATTCTGTTACAGCATCACACAGGAATAAATTAATATAAATGTTAATTTATCTTGATTCATGATTAATTGAAATGAAATAATCACAGATTTAATCAGATTTAAATGAATTGTTTACAGTCTACAGCCTCCATTTTTTCTTCTACATCTACATTTGTATAAAAAGTTCCAACAAGTGAAAAAATACACAAAAGTATGTTTTCATTTTTTAAATACAAAAACGTGCCATTTATTTTATTAAAATGAAATGTAAAATCCTTTTTTCTTCACTGCACCTTAAATTGTTCATGACTGCATTTCACAGTGGGAATTAATCATTAAACACTTTACTAGGAAAGAAAGAGTGGAGTGGAGTGAATATCACATCTGGACACTGTCGTTGTTTTTCACAGTGAATTATCAAAGGGGCGACACAAAGCTGCGGCTACGTTTGGAGAGAGAATTCAATGGTGGCAGTGAAAAAATTAGATCTATTTTTCTGCCTTTCCCGTCCTGTCTGTCCATCTAATATCTCTGTTCTACTGTAGTACTTTGTAAAATGCAGGAACGTGGAGTCTAAGCTGAACAACATGTACAATCAGCAGCAGCATGTAAAACCCATAAATATTTATCGCGGAGGACAAAGCATGGTTTTTCTGTGTCACTCCCACACAGTCTTTTGTTCCTTATTTTTTATGTATTTGTTTTTCCAAAGAACTAAGTTTGGTCGCAGAGAAAAACTGTCCACGTATTTGGAATCATCTCAGCGTGGGCGCCGGTGTAATTTCACATACAAATACGACCCTTCACGCTGTAACATATTTCTGCAGTGCTAACAGAAACAACAGCTTAGAAACGTGACGTCGTCGTTGAGGTGAGACGAGCGCCAACGACCTGCGAGGGAAACGTAAATCAGGGATGAACAGCAGCTGTAATGGGGCTGTTTGCCGCGCGGCCATTGACTGAACCTGATTAGCATTAACGTCGGCGGTGACGAAGAGGAATCCAACAACAGCCCCACATCGATATCTGTGGTACAACAGCAGCCCTGTGGATGACTCATCTAAGGAGACTTGGACTTGGACCCAGGAGTTGGACTGGGATTCTGCAGCACAGCAGCAGCAGACCAGAATAAAATTTCATTTGGTTAATTTTCTTAGAATGCAATAAAAAACATTATTTGTTCTCGGAAGTGACCTTTAACCTCTTCTCAGGCAAAACAACAAAGAAAATATTGTTACTGTTTTTTAAAGTCAAACGTTAGGAAGAAACAACTGCAACATAATCTTTCCTGTGTCCTCACAACTGTTACTGTCAGATTATCATCCAGACTCCTCTTTATGATTTCAGATAGAGCAGATAGTCCTCAACCCCCGGTCCGGGGACCAATGCCGGTCCGTAGGTCATTTGGTACTGGGCCGCAGTGGGAGAAATTAATAAATTATCAAGTGATATACCTGACAACATCAGATATGATAATCATTACTGATGAAATAATCAGATATGATAATCATTACTGATGAATACCAACACTGAATACCAACACTGATGATTATTTTTCAAAAAAAAAAGTTAAACGTAATAATTGCCGTTGGTAAAACGATTACGTTTCTTGTTTCTCTTTTGCTCACGTCTTGTGTACAAGCTGAGGAACAGGACACTGCAGCGTGTTGTCACTTCCCTGTAATGGGCACTAGTGGCCGCAGGGCAAAAAATTCCATTTCTATCCTGCCCTTAATATCAGTAAACATGAAGAGACACACAGTAAACTGCTCCCCCGCTGAGAGTGGCTACAAACTCCATGAGGACGAGGCGTCCAAACCCTGTGAGGCAGTGACAGTAACAGTGGTGAGCAGGTGAGAGTGGAGCCATCTGCTCACCCACCACTGTGTAACTCTGACAGCCCTCCCACCACACACACACACACACACACACACACACACACACTAGATTTGCACAGCTTTTCTTTTAAGGACAAAGGCTATGTATCGTAACCTAAAACCTAGCGACCCTGTCATTAGGAAGTGAGGTTGAACTACGACACTGAGGTTATTATTTACCTGTGGAAGTCCCACTCAGGTGAAGCACTCAGAAATCTGTTCAATCACTCATTCTCCTTGTAAGAAAGCTCAAAATATGGTTGGGAATGCAAAGCAACATGAATACGTTTGTGTCTTCTCCAGTCAAAGCCAACCATCGATCTATTAAAAAAACTGTCATTTTGACTCCATCCTGTTTATAAATCACTGAAGCCAACGGATATTCATATCCTTAAGGCTTGGTGAATTTTCAAAATAAAACATATTTTAGACTTTATCCTGTTGGTATTAAAGTCGGAAAGATATATTATTTTGAAACATTGCCAGATTATCTTAAATGAAGGACTGTCCGGTACCAAATGAGCCATGGATCGGTACCAGGGTTAAGGTTGTAAAGTACCAAATGAGCCATGGATCGGTACCAGGGGATTGGTACCAGGTTGTAAAGTTCATCTAAATAGTCTGGAGAATACTGGTGAAATATAAAAAAACGAAGCACGACTGCTCTCAGAGTTTGTGAGGTCAGGGATGCCAGCGCCGCTACGATAAACCTGGATGGATTCCTCGCAAAATAAAGTCCTTCAACATTATATTTTGTTGTGAAGTCTACGATATGATGGTGTTTTATACCAGGAAAAAAAAAAACACACAAATGTGGCAGTATTCTTAGCTACAGTCATAAATTTGAAACAACAGAGTTGAGACCAACGCATTTGAACAGAGCAGGAAAGTCTTGAAAGTGTAGTACCACACACACACACACACACACACACACACACACGGCGACCATGATTGGACCCAGATGTTCTGACGTGTTTCCTGTTCTCAGAGAGAAGGGGTC